CGTCGCCAGCGACTCACAGCAGCCCAGCTCCAGGTCGAGCTGTTGTTCACCATCTTAGCTGTAGAGGGCGCAGCGTCACTGGCCCATGTGGGATCCGAACCAGCGGCTCTGCTGCTCAGAGCTCGTGCTCCCAAGCCGACTCTTAACCAATGAGCCACTTGGCTGGCCTGAAAGGTAAATGTTTTGAATCGATTCAGGACATCAAGGCAGCCATGACAGCACAACTAAAGACATTCACAGAACAGGATTTCCAGAACTGCTTCAGAAAGTGGCAAGAACGATGGGATAAGTGTGTTCGAAGTGAGGGGGAGTACCTTGAGGGGGGTTAATGGCAATGTGTCTTTTACTGTAATACATTTTTTTTAATTTAAACATTCACCGTGTTTTTTTATCCCACCTTGTAACTTGTTCCCTAATAAACAGCTTGCCAGTGACTGTGGACATGTATGTCCATGTGAAAGGCATGGAAATTGGTTCACACCTGAGTGAGACCAGTTCAATTTATTTCTTTTAACTTCAGCTTCATTGTTAAAATGGAGGAATTAATAATGGTCAGCACAGTGCTTTGAGACTCTGAAGCTATCTTCAGAGAGTGAAGTTACGAAAATTCAAAAATAGTAGGTGAAATCAGAAATAATGAGTCCTAGTTAAGAATTAAGTGTCCCTTTTTAGCTGGCAGTGTGGCTTTACTGGGGTTCATGTTCCATGTTTTTACAATAGGTATGAAATAAAAGCATCTACTAGAAAGGTTTGTTGCAAGATAAAATGAAATAATCCATAAAAACTCAGCCTACTAGCCTATGTTAACTATTATCACCATTAGTGTATTATTTCCACAAAGATGATTGTATTGGCTTTAGGATTAGTCTCCCAGCTGGTCTTGATGTCTTCTGTACTCTTCAGATTGGTCTTTCTAAAATACAAATTTCATGGCACTGTCCTGCTGAAAATCCTCAGTGGCTCCCTATTTTGATAAAATCAAAACAATTGGGAATAGTATATTTGGTCTTTGATTATCTGACTCCTTTCTTTTCTTCGTCAACACGTCAAGATTGCTCAGTCTTTTGGTTCTAAGGAGATGTTTGCAGTTCCCTAAGCAGGTAACGACTTTTTTTTTTTTTTTTTTTTTTTTTGCGCCTGTGCCTTTTCCCGTACTTGTCTCTCTGCACAATATGACCTTTTCTGGTGTTCTTCACCAGCTTCAGGATTTTGAAAAATTGATTTATTGTTGTCTAACTTCTAGTATTGTTGAGAAGTCCAAAACCATTCTTATTCTTAATCCTTTGTATGTGACCCATTTTCTCTCTGGAAATTTAGAATTTTCTTTGCCAGTGTATTGAAATTTTACAATATGTGTCTTGGTATGCATCTGTTTTCTTCCACTGTTTTGGTCACTTGGTGGGTACTTTCAATCTGGAAACTCAGGGTCTTCAATTCTGGGAAATTTTCTTGAATTATTTAATAACTTACAATTGTCAATTTCCTCTAGATCTTTTTTTTCCAATTTAGTATTAGACTTCATTGACCTAACTTTCTCATCTTTCATTTTACTTTTTTTTCTCTTTCTCTGCTCTGTAAAGATTCCTTCAAAACTACTTTCTAATCCATCTATTATTAGGTTTTTCATTTCTGGTATAGCATTTTTAATTTCTTAGAGCTTAGAGTGTGTACACACACGTGTGTGTGTGTATATATATATGTGTGTGTGTATGTATGTGTATATATATATATATATATATATATATATATATATATATATATATCTCCTTGTTTCTTGTTTCTTGGATGTAATGTCTTCTCTTTATGAAGACCATAGTGATATTTTCATTTGCTACATAGTCTTTTTCCTTAAAGTTGCTTTTTTATCCTGCCTGTTCATTCTGCATAAATATATATGTATATAGTTATAGCCAGTAGAAAACATTGTGAGTGAAAGTAAAATTACAGAGCATATGGAATTACAACTGTTTCCCCAAATATTTAAAGGATTTCTGTGCTGGAAGTACATACAATGGTATGAAGTTACATTAGGCAGAGTATTTTACACTTAGGACATAATTTTGAATGAAACTTGCTGGGTGGAATGAGGTATGAAGTGCCTTTACATATCACAAAGGGTGTGATGTTGTTCCCAGACAAAGAATTTACTAAGGCAACCTAATGATCACTCTAAAGTTTGTGTCTATAAATATGCAAATTGAACAATCTGTCACTGGCAATGAAAATAATTATATAAATATAATTAGTCATATTTTGAGTATTAGAATTTTTGCCACTATCAGTGCTTGCTGGTAGACTGTAGGTCTGTAATTTAGGGGCAAAGGGGGTCGATAAATACATTTATTGAACTATTATGTCCCAGGCACTGTATTAGGTGCTTTATGTTTGTTATCTATTTTAATTAATCTGAAATTATACAGCAACATTTCCTCACAAATGATCTTTACTGTTTTGTTTTATCTGAATTGTAGTATGTCTTTACTTTTGTATCTACTACTAGACTCATTTGACCTAACTTGTCTTTCCTTTTTTTTCTTTTTACTCTGTAAAGATTCCTTCAGTACAGTGCCTGACTGACTCATAACCACTCAGAAAATGTTGAATGCATGAAGAGAGAATCTTGTCTTTCATTTACTCTTTTGTATAAAGGGGAGGAAATAAGTAAATCTAAGTTGCAGTGTAGATATCCTGAACGTTTAATTATATTTCTATAATTAAGTAGGAATAGATACTAATTTACCTTGCAGACAGTAAAACAATCCAGAAGAGTAACAGCGTTTTAACTCCATCAAAAACAAACTGAAACGCAAAAGGAAAGAACTCGCACATTTTCACTCTCCTTAGTCTCTCCTAATGCTCCTCCTTCCGGGTGGAGCTAGGACCTGTAAGGCCAATCAGCGGGATGTTGGGTCGGGGACTAACTAATCATCCTGCAGAGGGCCTAATTCCCGCCCCCTCCTAGGTCAGCCGCTTGTCCTAGGGCGCTGAGGCCAGGAGACACGCCCCTCCCTCCGCACCTGCGGCTCACTGGTTAGGTGTGCGGTGTCCGCGTCCTCGGTAAGGCGCGGGGCTTGAGAACCCGGTGAGTACTTGACCACCAGTACATCTCTCCATCGCAGTCCCTCCCTCCGAGCGGGGGTGAAAGGCGGACGCGGAGGAGCAAATGCACTGTGGGACTTGAGTGAAGGAGTGCGTTATGGGATGGACATCCTGGTGGGGGGAACCAAATTGGGGGGCCGTTTCCCGCGGCTGATGGTGGAAGATATTGAGACGGGGTCGCAATAAGGGGATTCCCAGGGTCGGCCAGAGGCGACTAGTTTTGGTGACCAAAGCCAGGAAGTGGGGAACATTTCAGAGAGTCCTGAAGTGCCCACTGACCGTTGCACATTGCCTGTGGAGCTCCTGGATCCCGACCAGTACCTAGCCCCTCCCCCTCTCGGGCCGAGTTGTACATAGAAACCGTTGCTACGCTTGGAGGATGTCATTTCCTTTCGGCCTCCGGCTGCTGGGGGTGCTGGACCCTGTGGATGTTGGAAAGAATGCTTAGGTGGGAGATGCTACAGCAGGTGGAAGAAAACAGGTTTTCGAGTTATTAGCCCATCTCAGTTTGCACTGGAGGTATTACTGATAAGCTGAGTAGGAAATATAGTAAATAGATGTGGATCAGTATGATGGAAAACAAATTAAATCCAACTAAGACCAGATTGCAAGAAGAGTTCTAAAGAGAGCAAATAGTGTGTATTTTGGAACTTGAGAATTGATATTTAGTGGTCTTGAGAATGTGTGTCCTACCAAAAAATGGTAGTTTTCAAAAAGGGTTCTCAGAAATGTTAAAACAGTGCTCAGAATGAAATTCGTTTGATTAGGTAAGAGAGGTCCATCATTTCACATGTTTTTCACTATATTTTATTCAAATCATAAACTAGGGGTTGCAAGACACATTTAATTCTAGATAATCTTTAATCCCATTAGATGCATAAATCTATCCCATCAAAGGTCCTCCAGCTCCTTGGAAAAATTCTCTCAAGGCAACCTATTCTATTCTGGGCAACATCAATAATTTAAAAGTTATTTATTTGGCTTTCTTGTAACTTCCACCCTTATGGCTATCATTGTGATGAGAGACATTCATTATACTGGACCATGCTGGTATGGTGTGAAAGCCACAGTCTCATTCCTCAGCTGGATCTCATCCAAATGCTGACGAACTGTCACCTATTTTCTATACCCAAGTCAAAGCCAGCAGAATATGGAGGAGAAGCCGACAGAGCAACCTTTTTTTCTGCAGAGGTCTGATTGATATATGACCAGACTCCCAGAGGCTCGCATGCTGAAGGAAATACTTCTAATGAAGTAGACCCATTGCTACTTATTTTAAAATGTATCATCCAATATTTTGTAGTGCAGTGATTTTAAAAACCTTTGACAATGACTCACAATAAGAAATATATTTTTCTTTACACCATGTGCATTTATATGTACACATCTTTATAATTTCTGTTTGTATAGACATGAAATAAAAGTTTTTACAAAACAGTATTTAATGGTATGTATCGGGTAATCTGATTGTTTTTTGTTCTCCCTCAATATAAAACAATGCTGATTGAAATGCACAGTTGATTTCGTGGATTGCTACCTGCAATTTGATAAGCATGAGTATGATGGTTAAGTATGTGGGCTTTGTGGTTGCCTGCTGAGATTCACATCTTCAGTTCACTGCTTAATAGCTGTATGATCGTAGGCAGTTTACTTACTTGAAACATCAACTTCCTTATCTAGAAAGTGGGAGTCATTAATATCCTACATGAGAATGATTTTGGAGATTAAGTGAGATAATCCGTGGCACATAGTAATTTAGCTCCATAAATGTTGACTGTTATTACTGTTTTCAACTTAAAAATAAAACCTACCTGATGCTACCGCATTAAAGGATTGAGGTAATATATGTACAGTACTACAGTGGTGCCCAGCACACATTAAGAACTATGTAAGTATTTGTTGCTGTTATTATCATTAGCAGCAGTATCATTAGAATGAAACTGTATGACCTTTTCTCAGTTCAATTCAGCAAGTGTTTCTTAAGAGGTATAAGGCACTATTCTGCTAGTCCTGAGTATTTGAAGATGAATAAAGTACTCGTAAGATCTCTCACAATCTAGAAGAGGAGACAGAGAAACATAATTAGAATATGTGCTATGTGCGATGAGAGAGGTCTGTACAGAGAGAGCCATTAGAACCCAGATCTGGGGGCTGTTCATTGATAGCGGGCTGCAGGGAATGGGGAAAAGGGTGATGTTTTAAGGAGAGTTACAGCAAGGATGTTACTTATGTTTGTGCTGAATCATGAAGGATGATTCGGATGTTAACAGCTAAAGTAGAAGGTCATTTAAATCAACATTAGAAGATATCCTAAAAAGCAGTTTGAGTACTAAAGCAAACCAGAATATGCCACCCCCAAATAGACCACTTTGGCATAAGGATTATTTTGAGCTGAAGAAATTAAACAATAGGAAGAACTCTCTGCCCTCACCCTTTGCCTAAAAGCAGGGCATAAACTTCTCTCTATGAAGGTTTTCTCTCCTTCCCTCTCCCATATCAGGAGGAGAACAATTCTTTTTTTTTTTTTAAGATTTTATTGGGGAATTAGGGAAGGGGAACAGTGTTGGGGAATTGGGGAAGAGAACAGCCAAGTTGTTTTTCTTCAATCTTAGTTGTGGAGGGCGCAGCTAGCTCAGCTCCCAAGTCCAGTCGCCATCCAGCCACCTATAGGCAGCTCGCGGCCCCTCAGCTCAAGGTGCTGTGTTCAATCTTAGTTGCGGGTGGGCATAGCCCATTATCCCATGTGGGAGTCCAACCCCGAAACCTTGTTGCTAAGAGCTCACACCACTGAGCCATCTGGCCGCCCATCAGCAGTTCAAGGCAGCTCAGCTCAAGGTGCCATGTTCACCTCAGTTGCGGGTAGGTGTAGCCCACCATTCCATGCAGGAGTCGAACCAGCAACCTTGTTGTTAGGAGCACGTGCTCTCACCAGATGAGCCATCCTGCCACCTGTTAGCAGCTCAGCGGCAGCTCAGCCCGGGCGCAGCTCACTTGCCCATGAGGGAACCAAACCTGAGACTCAGTTGCTCAGAGCTTGCGCTCTCAACCAACTGAGCCACTGAGCCACTGGGCCAGCCCAACAATTCTTATCACAGTAGAGAGACAGTCAGCCTTGAGATGAGTCTGCAAAAACAAATATTAAAATAACCTTTTTATTTGTTTCCTCCATATATTTACTTTCTCCTAGAAGCCAAAACCTCTTTTCCTTCTGATCACTTCTCCACAGTTTATCACCCTTTGTTAAAATGATTAGGCTCCCAGGCTGAACACTGTCTTGGGATTTTTGCTTTTTTGTGTAACCCCAATGTGCATATAAAATAAACCTTTTCTCCTGTTAATGTGTGTTTTCTCAGTTTAACTTGCAGCCCTCAGTTACTGAATTTAAATGGGTAGAGTTTTGGGGTTTTTTTTCCCCCGTTTATAGCTCCAAAACATGCTTTGTCATTGTATTTCAACTTTAAGTAAAGATTGAGGTAATCCATGTGTGGTACATAATAATTTAGCTCCATGAATGTTATCTATTGTTATCAGGGAGAGAGAGTTTAAAATGAGTAGTAGCTTTCCTCCTTGGAAAAAACACTCCTCCTTTTCTATAGTAATGAAAAATAAATATTACAGAGTACCTAGATGGTTGTTACTATCCAAATCGAGTATTATATATTAGATTCCTGTTTTCATATATATTTTAGTCATGACCGCCAAAGAGCATCCATCATTGTGGGGCTTTGGAACAACAAAAACATTCAAAATTCCCGTTGAACACTTGGATTTCAAGTATATTGAAAAATGTTCAGACGTTAAACACTTGGAAAAAATTCTTTGTGTGCTCAGGTAAGCATTTAAAAATTATTTCATGTTTCGAGAAGGGTGAGGAGCAGGAGCCCCTGGAGGGAGGCAGAACCCGAGGACTGGGAGAGGTTGGGGAGCAGAGTGAAGAAGAGGGGAGCCACGCCTCTCCCACCTCCAAACCCGGGGATTAATGAACCCAGGGCGGGCCCTGCATACAAGGATTTAACTCTCACTTGTGGTTATCAGCATCTTTCTGGCTCCCCAGGGGATGAGAACTCGGCTGTTGCTATCCTGCCAGTTTTGCTGAGGGAATGGTTAGGCCCTGCTGTGTGGGGCTTTGAACTCTAGAAATTTGCTTTTGGTTCTTTAAAAAGTCAGAAATTCTGGGTTGAATGCCTCTGTGCACAATGAGGTTTTGACATACTCTAATGTTAGTGTTATTTGCAATTGAAAGATTGATGGGAATTTTGAAGAGATGCCAACACTTCTGCAATTAAAAAAATTATTTCATATTTCAGTATGCCAATTTTAATTACATTGTTGTTCCCTTTTAAAAGTCGACGCTACATTAGAAACATGGGAGAAAATTTTCAAATATTGAGATTGTTGTATTTGCCCATGTTAGCTTAAAAAATAGTGGTTTTTATCCTGTGGTTCATTTGCACGGCTCTGGCTAGGTTTACTTCCAGTATGAGACTTAAGCACTTTTCTTACTTCCTCCACATTTTCTAGGAAAAGTAGCTGTGAGAGTAGCCAGTAGGAGGAAAGTTTAGCTCACCAGCCTACGCTGATAAAGTTCTTTGGCACTCTCCCACTTCCCTTCTGCCAATAAAGGCGGGTGACTCACTGGGAGCTGGTCACCAGAAGGCAGGGAATCAGGGCCTTCTCTGGGTGAGAGCCCCATGGCAGTGATTTTTTTGTTTTTAAAGATTTTTATTGGGGAATTGGGGGGATGGGAACAGTGCTGGGGAATTGGGGGAAGGGGAACAGACAAGTTGCTGTCGTTTTT